CTCAGAATTCCCAAGCCACATCATGGACAATATGTGCGACGACTAAATTATGGTCCGTACTACGGCGTCCGCGGGAACCGACGCGCTCCGCAACCCTTGTTCAATGATGCGAGCGAAAAGTATGTGAGCTGGACTACTCAATCGAAATCGGGCCCTTGGTATTGGATGCTGGAATGTGCAAATGTTCCTGGCTCCTGGTACCCAAACCCTGACTGTGCGAAGCCTTTATCGTTACAACGTAGATGTCTGCTACCTATCCGAAGTCTGAGTTCCTGACTCAGACGCTCAGGAAATAAAGGTAGCGGGAGCTGACTTCAACTTCATCTTATACCGCAATGATCCGCATGACTCCTCCGGCAGACATGGTGTGGCCATCACCCTCTCGCAACAAGCGAGCCGTGCAATACTCGCCCAGGAACCAGCCAATGAACGCATGATTCATGTGCGCCTGAAGGTCTTCATCAGAAACATATTTGTCTTCGCAGTATGTGCCATAACCACCGCTGCTGATCGGCGCGATAAAGAGATGTTTTGCTCACAGCTAAAAATTTTGCTTGAAAGGCTCCCACGCCGCGATCTGCGGATTGTTGCCGGGAACTGGAATGGCCGGACAGGGCCTCATGACTCTACAAACGGCCATCTTATCGGCCGCATTGGTTTTGCTTCTCAATGTGAGAATGGTAAGAGATTGCTGAACTTTTCCCCAACAACGACCATACGGCCAGTCAGACTAACAACATTTTCGTCAGCTCAAGCTTCCGCAGCTGGGTTCATGATAGTCGGTCGCTGCGTGGTGCTGAGACTGCCTATGCCATGGATCTGACCACGTTCTTGTTCGCACACGCCTAGAAGCTCACCTCTCATCTGTGCCAAAAATGCCACGCGATGTCGCCAATATTCGGCAATCCAACACCACTGAGGCCCTGAGCAGAGACATCCGGTCCCGTTTCACAACCCGAGCCGACAGAGAAGTAAGTAATCCCTGGTCCTCACTGAAAAAGTCAGTCTATGGGGCAGCTGAGTCGAATCTTCGATGCACCCTGCGGTGCCCCAATGATTGCATTAGCGGACGAAACCTGTAGAGGTCTGCGGAGCCAGCCCCAGCTAGGGGCCGTAATGATGATTCTGTCCGCCAACTAAGAAAGATGACAACAAAATTGACCAACAAGGACCGGAGGAAAAACTGAGCTGAAATAGCAACCTCCATGGAGCAGGCCTCGAACGTTGGTGAAACTTGAAAGCTCTACCAACTTATTTACCAGACTATTGGTAAGGTGTTTTCACTGAGCGACTCATTTCTTGAGGTGAATGGCGGTGTTATTGCTGACAACGCGACCAAGGTCGAGCGATGGCGTGAGCACTACGAGTACCTCCTCAACTTTGATAGGGAGACCACCGCCCCCCCTGCTCCCATCTACAACAGAGCCTCCCCATCTCTCACTTATCCAGTGTCATGCGACCGGCTGTCTGATAACTGGGGATCATGCATCCTTGTGCCTGTCCCCAAGAATGGAAATAAGACGAGATATGGAAGCTACCGCGGCATAAGCCTAATCAATATTGCCGCGAAGATCTTCGCCATTGTTCTCCTTGGGCGGTTCCAGTCTGTGCGCAACTCCAGGACGCGTTACAACCAGGCCAGATTTCGCGCTGGGCGTGGATGTGTGGATCAGTTATTCACACTGAGACGGATCCTTGAATTCCGCCATAGCTACCAACAACTATCTGCTTTGCCGTCTTTGTCACTGTGTTCGATTCTGTCCGTAGTGACTTCCGATGGCGGATAATAGCATTTGATGATGTACAACCAAAGATAATCCCCATGCTCAAGGCATACTACCGCTCCACCACTGCGCTGGTTCCAGGTCACAGCAACCCTTCAGATCCCTTCGCTAATCGGCCTGGCATTCGACAAGGCTATATCCTGTCGCCCGTTCTCTTCAACTACGCCATTTACCGGGTGCTAAGGAAGGCCCTACAGGAATTGGTATCGAGCTTGCACCCGGGCGCCAATTGACTGACCTGAGCTATGGCGATGATATCGCTTTGCTAGCTTCAAGCTTAAGTGATATACAATCTATGGTATCACGGGTGAACGAGGAGGAGAAATCGGACGGTTTGTTCATAAACGTCGTGAAGATCAGAGTGTTTTTATGCTGCATTCCTGCCCAAGAGCAGTCACCTCTCCCGATTAGTGCCCATCAACTTAAAGAATTAGACAGTTTCGAATACCTCGGAGCGATGTTGCTGCTGAATGGACAAAGTAAAGATGACGCTGGGTTGCGAATTGACGCAGAACGACGAGTTTTCTCAAGCCTTCGGAAGTGCCTACGGGTCAGAGGCGCTATTCCTGTCTGCACAAAGATCCGCGTGTAGCATGCATCTGTGCCGTCAGTTCTTCTATACGGATGCGAATGTTGGGCTATGCGCGTGGACCTCTATGGCCACTACTGCTTGAGGACCATCCCTCGAGTGAAGTACACCGACCTCGTCTCAAATGAGGTAGTTTGCACTCGCTGCGACAATATCACAAGTATATCCTAGGCCATTCAAGAAAGACGACTGAGGTGCTTCGGACACGTTCTTCTTCATTAATCTCAGGAACTCAGTGTAACTGCTCTTGACTTGAAATCGTTACCGAAGTATAAACGTCGAAGAGGGGGCAACTCAAAACTTGGCTACCCTTAGTCTGTCAGGAAATGCATGTGGTTCTTGGCCCTTCGGTATTTGGGCTCCGGCGCTGGAGAAGAGACTTTTCGAAGCTCTCCAGATCCACTGCCACCATCGTCACGCTTGTATAGGTACCGTCCGTGATCTCATTGAGGCCGGCTACATAAGGCGTGACCACAGCCGTAACATGTATGTAACTACGTTTAAAGCTACATGCCTACTGACAGTGTTCTTTCTTAACACGCGATGAATGTTATTTGAACCGCCGAGCAGGTGGCATAACACCAACCCTCAATAAGTGTAAGTCATTTGTAGCGTTCATTTTCAATTTCGGAGTACTGATTGGTAGAACTCTTAATGTCCACCATCCCTGCCCAGCACTCATTAGGTACTACAGAATGTATTATAACTCAGTACACTACATGGCTATGAATATGCTTTATACGTGGCAGTAGTTTGGGTTAGTAAATTGACTCCTGTGTGCTCAAATAAAAGTCTACATGTGGAACCGCGTAGTTCAGTTGGTTAGCGCATTGGCTTTACCGAAGAAGCATCATTGCTGTCGGAGTTTGCAATCACATCGTAGACACTGAATTGTTGATTGAGTTAGAGATAGACGAACCCAGTTATTCAACATAAGACATAACCTAGGCCTAGATAAAACGATGGGAGTCAACTTAGTCCGCGATGGCCATTTTATTGCAGTTAGTAAATCAGAACTTGGAGGTGCGATCTCCGGTACAAAGAGGTTATTCGCCTGATGTTTCGGATTCTGGCTTGAACGCATCCTCAGAGCTTATTGCAGTAACATTACATCAGGTTTCAAGACTATCGGGCAGTATTCTGCGCGTCATCTAAAACACATCAAGGGACATCCAGCCCAGGGAGAGAGTTAAAACCATTGAAGGCACTCACCATTTCTCCGGGGAGTTAAAGAAGTTTGGAGTAGAGATAACTGTTTGAGCAAATAGGAGGACCTCCGCAAGTTGGAGAAGCAAAACCAAAGCGAAGTTGTAGCAAATTTTCTCCTCCTTCAATTTAACAGTTTGCAGAATGATCCATAAAGTGCATCCCATAAAGATTAGTCGTGACAGGATGCATCGTATAAAAATAAATAAAGAGGCGATCCCGTTTGGGAGCCAAGGTGGCAAGTTGCTCTTTGCAAGCTGTGAATTGCTGTTCGAGGTGCTTTGAGAAGAGGCAACTTGGGGTCTGCCAGTGCATTTTGGTACTGTCATGGATTTTCAAGGGGAATGGCACTGTGTCCAGAAGATCTAAGGGAAGGTATATGTAACCATCTGAGAAGATATTGGCTACAATTACATCTGTTAATTAAGAAAAGTGTGGCAATACATATACCAACGCGTCCGGAGATAGTTGCAAAGCTCTTTTGTGTGAAATTACATGTTGCTGAGGACAGCAATGCTGGATATACCCTTTAAAGCTAGCAAGTGCAAATTTAATTTGAAATTGGTAGAGATCAGGTGAGGACTGTGCGAATAGTTTGCTCGCCGAAAGGACGCGCGTTCCAACAAAAGCCGCTTTCTGGAGGGAAGGAAGGCTTTTTAAATGCAACAACACAAACGTCACTATTACAACAGGACCACGGAAGCGTGCGGGTCAGGCAATGGTTATGTAAGGGACTGCATTGAAATAGACTGGCACGGATCACATAAGCAAATCATTCAACAGAGATTATTGATATGGTACACCAATTGAAAAGCGGCTTAGACTTAGCACGCTTGGGAACATTTTTCGGACTCAGTTAGCATGATTTTTTCCAAGTTTAAGAGATTACAGGAACAAAGCTGTGAAATCTAATTTGAAATGCTCGGACAGCGATACAGTTACATGATAAGTCAATTGGCAATCTTAGGTGCTTTTGTTATAAGTGTAGCCTAACCGAATGTCAGTCTTCCTGAGGCGTCGTGCCTGTGAACAATTACCACAATGTTTCCTTTGTCAATGCGGATTGCCTTCAAGGTCATATGCCTTCGCCATGGTTGTGCCCACGTGTTGACCTTAAACCCGGAC